CCATTCTCTTGGAAAATTGTGTTAAAGTTTACATTAGCATTCGGACTCGCATTATTTGCAATTTACTTACATATTTCAGTCATACGCAAGTTAAATAACATCTATAGTTGCACGTACACACCATTATATGTCGCATTTCTTCCGTTCTGTCTTTCTTCCTATAAAACGTTCGGAGTTCGTTGTCCCATATACGTATAGGTCAGTGGACTCCCGACGACGTCAGCTGTCTCGTATAGTACAGTCGAAATAACTACGCGCAACGACCACGTGTATGACTGCCCGCGCGTCATCCCCACCGCTGGGCGGATTTTTCTGGTTAATAAATTATATGGAATGATTCAGACGAATTTTTATTTTATGTATTAGTCTTTGGATTTCAGAACTATTACCCTAACAATGACATTAGCTCTTTTTAGAGCTATGTAGTATTATATATTTGACACCACGGGTTGTCTACTTTTCATAAGGCCATTTTGAAGTGAACCCACAATACATACAAAAAGCATGTACACAAGTATCTCATTCTGCACATGCGCAGAATCAATGTGACACTTAATAATATAAATAAAAAAAATTAATAAATAAAATGCAATGAGATACCAGTGGTAAAAGAATTTTATAAGATTTAAGGAAATATGGACACTTAAAAATTAACTATACGAAAATGAATTGAAGTTAACGCTACGTCGAAGCACACTGACTCGACAGGCCGAGCCATGCGGTACAAGCAGTGTTAACTTCAATTACTTCTCATAAGGCCATTTTGAAATGAACTTTTTTTTTATTTATATATTCTTTAAAATAATTGCAAAATAAATGGTTAAAAAATATTTTTTTTAACTGAAACAATTTTTGAGAATTAATAATTTCACAAAGCTCACTTTGATCAGTTTGTTAGTTCAACAGTTATAATTTATTGAAAAAAGGTTGACACTATATTTCAAACAGCTGTAAAATCAACAATTTTGAAAATTTGCAGAATTATATATCATTAAAGACTACGTACAACATATGTATATAAGTTTAAATAACATCCGAAATGTTACTCCAAAAAGTATCAGGCGTCGCGCGGAATAACCCCATATCGATATGGAAGTGACACCTATGGTTTCTTAGCGTTCTCCCGATTAAAATTATACCAAATATCACGTAAATCAGACTGTGTGTAACGAAGTTATCTTTACATTATGCAAATTAATTATTTGTGTAATTTCGTTAATTATAGTTCGACTTGTGTTATTTTTGGTATCATTTGCATCAGAAAAACATAAGGAATCGATTGATGTAAATTTCGTGAAATTTTCACTTTTTATTTCTGTCCTCGTCTTTCACCTCGAAGCTTCGGGGCACCATTGGACATGTAGGCCGGGATTCATAGTCATTATAAGTGCCTATGAATTCCAGCCGTACAATGTATATGATTTTTTCTCTGGTTTTACCAAGAAAAAATGATTCATATACTGTTTGCAAACTGTTCGCGAACACCAGTGGAGACGGGCCTTTATACTAACCCATGTAAACGCGCATGCGCGCCCACTACTCTCTAGTTACGAGCATCTGCTACCCATCCGGCTCTATTTACCAATTGTGCTCGTTAATTTCACAACCTTTTGTTCCTTCGTGCTAATTGAGTGGTTTAATAGATTTCATACAGATTAAAATATCTAAAGAGGACACCATGATCTTAAGTGAACAAGACTTAACACCAATTTTCAACACCATAACATTTCAGTATATCAACGTAGTATAATTATATGGTTTAGAAAAATAAAAGTTATTTTTTTATTGAAATTCGAAAACCATACACACATCTGTACATCCGTCTATATGCTATAGACTTTTATGTTATATCGTTTGTACACTGTAGAATGTAGAATTTTATATTTTTTTAAGTCGAATTAAAATTATTATAGATACATTTCATTTGCGTGAAATAATAATCCTTAGCAATAACGTGATACTGTATACAACATAAATAGAAACATTTAATGTTATCATATCTTGTTTGTGTTATGGATATTGTAGAAAGAACATTAAGATGGTGCTGTAATAGAACATTTCTAGTGAAACCGTTGCTTGCGATACTTCCTGACCCGTTTATTCAGCATAGCGAACGAAAGATGAACAACTCCGTCTAATTCGTACCGGAAAAAAATTTTCATAATATTAACGCCAGTCGTGCATTCACAGTTAGTGGTTACATTAAAGATCACTGTAGGCTCACATGTGGAAATGAAACAATTTTTACTCAACGTTTAAGAGGTTTGAATTTTTTGTACTGTTAAAACTGATTATGACAAATGTACTGGCACTGCTTACAATAGCAGATTAAGGTGGCTACCGTAAATTTTTGATAATTATAAATTTAGTTGTAAATTTAACAGAACATTTTTAAAAGCTTCAACTTTCGATTGCTACCAAAAAATTGCAAGGTCAACGATAAAATTATTGACAAAGAACTGTTATAAATATTTACTTTTTTAACACGAGCCTTATGAACTGTACTTGATACTGAGAAGTTAATCACTTCTTATGTAGTTACAAAAAATGACGTTTTTATAAAAAATTAGGTGGTTATAGATTTTTTTACGGAGATTATGATAACATGGAAAACAAATATGTTACCGATCAAATAAAACTAAAAATTACGATCAAAGTATGCAAACTTAGGTTTCAATACGTTTGGTAGTATCTTCTACGGATGTCTACTATGAGCGTCAACGTCGCTTGTTTTCCTTTGGTTTGTTGGAAGAACTTTCCAATTTTATCTTAAAAATTAAAAAAGGAGAATAGAATTTTTTAACAACATGGAAGGCAATTTTTGTTTCTTCCACTTATTTGTAAATTGTTTTCCATTTAAGTATTTTGATGTAGTTTAAAATATTATACAATAGAGTGACATATGGAGTCCCAGCTAGATACGACACCAACCGCGGAAGCTACTTTAATCCTCGGAAAGTGGCATTTGGATGTATGTTGATCCAAAGTTTCAAAAGCTTTACCGAACTCCCTAGTTTACGTCCTTTGGAATAGGGCATGTTGGGGCAGAGCTCACGGACAGGGTAGAATATGCTTGTGTGGAATACCTACGGGAGGCATGGAGGGGGAAACCGTTCGCGCGATTATCCGGGATAATTTATCCCATAATTCTGGCAATACTGTATACATATCTGGACCCCAGAACCAGAGTATATTATGTTACACTTTTCAAACTTTAGGGGAGAACAAATCATAGGTGCGGAAGGCTTGTACACTGACGAGCAAACTCGGCTTCCACTAGGGAAACGGCCTCCTACCACTTGGTATTGGGAATTATTGGAACTCATGCCAAATTAACATTCAATTTAACATTTATATCAGTTGTTGAAATAACTAAATCGGAACTTAATATCATTTTTAGACAATTATATTAGAAACTAGAAAACTTAAAACGAGATCATTTCAAGCCGCCACAGCGCGCCGGGCAAAAAATGATGCGCTTGACAAATTCCAAGGCCCATATATAGGATAGACTATAGTAGTCGTCATAGGATACACTTATCGAGGATTCTCTGTATTATAGCTCATTGGGAATCACTGTCTGATTATACATGTCTATGGGGGTAGGTTGATTATAGGTACAATCAGTTAAGAAAATGTTATTAGCAACTTATCTCAGTGGTAATAAAATAATACAATGTCAAGATAATTGTTTTATTATAAAATATTAATTATCTTTCTCTCATATTTTAGTAATAAACTACAGATTTTCTTCAACAAATCAATCTACAATCCACAAATCAATGAGCAAATCAATCAACAAGCCACAAAATATCAATCAACCTTTAGTGACGAAAAGTTAGTACACATTCATATTACCGGAGTTGGTTGACTAGCTAGCCATGTAACCCCAATACTATACATAATCTTAAGTTATTTACGTATAAAAAAATACTGTTTCAATAGGTCATCCAACAAACAAACTTTAAAATATACCTTTATTTATTCTACTGTAACTATAGGATTATTCCACGCGAAATCGGACACTTTTTGGAGTAACATTTCGGATTCTGTTGAAAGTTGAATATGTTGTAGTCTTTAAGGATTCATAAACGCATCTAGAAGAAGTTTTGACAATTTTTTAAATTGTTGATTTTACAGTTGTTTGAAATATGGTATCAACCTTTTTTCAATAAATTATAACTGTTGAACTAACAAACTGATTGAATTGAAAGAAAGAAGATTGAACATCAAAATAATGGTCATTCGCGTTGATGCAATAATTATGTCTCTTAATGAATGATTAATTTGCATTTTCTATTTTCTCCTGCGTAATTGAAGCTCATGCTGCCATGAATATTTACTTCATATCTTCTAGCGTTATAGGTTTGTTGAGGTAAACAATATTTTTCAATTTCCCCCATAGATAGAATCCAATGGAGTGAGATTCGGAGAACCAGAACGGTATGGTTATTCAAATCATTGAATTTGTTATTTTATGCTTATGCTCTATAAAGATATCGAAAAAAATATAAGGTTCCGTTTAAAAAATACCGGTTGTCTTGAAATCTCGTAAAAAAATGATCTTGAAAAAAATGCTTTCCATAGTGAAATGTGCCCCTTGAAATAGTGACTTTGTCCTAAGGATTTTTTCAATAAACCTTAAATAACGAAGATATTTAGGTATTCTCATTTGAATGCCATATCCTGTATAGCCGCCACTGTGTGTTTTGAAGCAGTAATATAAATGGATTATTAGCTATAGCAGCTATCAATGTATATTTAATTTTAAATGAAAAACCTACTAATTTGGGTGATTATTAACCAAAATTTTATGCCAACCTTTCTTTTCCAGTCCACTCTTATTGATACCTGCTGTTAGTATTAGACTTATACTGCCAGACAATATATAGACTACCTTAGACTCATATGTACAGTTACTAGAATATCAATTATTTCATCTTCGAACAACTATTGCACGCAGATAACAGTAACGATATATGTATTTTTCATAGTTGCAGAATGCATTGAAGGACAAGAAGGATGTAAGAGGTGCAGAGATGGAACGTGTGCTAGATGTGCAGTTCTTCTACATCAAGGAACTTGTGTTGACTCTTGCCCACCAGGTCACATTGCAGATTGGTCGACTAAAGATGAATATATGGGTAGAATTTGCAAAGAAACTGGATATATGTTTGGATTCACTGGTAGTCAGGTAGCCATTTTGGTAGGAGTTGTTTCCGGAGCAACTATATGTATCCTTATTATATTATGTGGAGCTATAATTGTGCATCGTAGAAAAAAGAAAACGGCTAAGTTTATTCAACAGTTTGAGGATAGGTATATTCTAGTATATTATAATTATAGATTATAAAAAGTAATACTAAGTACATATGATATGTGTTTTTTTCTGTGTTTTAGTGCAGAGAGAAGAGAATTCTTAAAACATCTTGCATCGCTCAGAGGAGAAGGTAATACATTTCTGTCAATGCTCAATGATACTAGAAGACAAGTTAGGGAACTATATTATTCTGGAAATAACGGGGATGGTGCTGTTGGAATACAAGCTTATAGGTAAAATAATTTAAGACATTTAAAAATAACTTTTAATTTATTTTAATTTATAAATTCTTTTTATATAATTATGACGTATAGACCTGTATTACGTGATTTGGCAAGGATACTAGTCCTCATTAATAGAAGAGACGACGAAATACCAATTCCTCCAGATGACTGGCAAAGATTATTCTCTTGGGCAGAAAGACTTTTGAGACGCTACAAAAGACACAGTTCACCAGAAGTAAGTTACATATTTTATTAAGCATAGACTTTAGAGTAACCAATTTTAAAAAAACTTGTATTAAATTTTTCTTCTTTTCCATGCAAGTCTTTAAAACATTTTGGTGAGTGATACACGTTAAAAAAATAATTGATGCAATCAGTACCCTAGATACATAAAGAATGTGGTCAAGATATTCAGCAAAAAATCAGTACCACTTGAAAGTTATATGTTTCATAGAAATGTAAAGAAAAATATAATGCAGTAAATAATATCTATTTTATATTTTAAGGTGGCTCAACTTGTGACATTCTTGCAACAACCACCGGCATCTGTTCAAACAAACACACCACAGCAAGTAACAATCACACAATCACCTCGCCCATATGAACTGAGAACCACTCCAACTAATCTGACAACATTCCAAGCAAATATACCGCTTACAACATTTCAAGCAAGTGATAAATCAAGTATAAGTCCCGCGAGTTCCAGTCTTGGATATGTAAAGGACAGTCCTCTAAGTTCCAGTCTTGGCCAAAACAGTTCTGGAGCATATAATGAGAAACTTAGTCCAAATGGATCTAGTATAGGACAGACAACTCCATTAGTATATGATAACCAAAAACAAGTAAAGCCTTCAAATACACACTTTCAAGAACTTGCCATTTCAACTTTTAATCATACTTTCACTACTGCTGCCACTTTAACAGAACCTACTTGTGGGGTAGATCACTGTGAAACAAACGGACTTGATCATGAATTAAACCCGCAGTGGGAATTTCAAAGTTCTGCAGAGGCTGCTAATTATACTATTTTATCTGATTGGTCACCTGCTCGTGAATACTTAATTGATGATTTCACAATTCTTGGTTTTCGACCTCAAGATGAAATTACTACAGAATTGTAAATAACATGTTATGTGTACACATGTATATTTCTTTGTAGATATGTATATGTAAGTATACATATGTATCTCCACATGTATAGTTCTTTTTAAATATTTAATTCGTTACCTATTTTGTCGTAACATTACTAGTTCCATATCAAAAACATTCATCATCTAAAATTCAAAGAATTCAACTACGAGAGAAAGTTTAGATAATAGATTGCTCACTTTTGTGAGTTCAATCATTTGATGCCAATCGCTTTGTTTGTATAATTGTGAAACTGTACGATGTATCTTTATTTGAAACCATCTACATCTTTTTTTCAAAAACAAATTAGTTTGTAACTTTTCATAAAATCATTAATTTTACTATCTCTATCTGAATTATCTCTTTTTTAACTTTTAAAATATTTTATATTTTATTTCCGTACTTTCATATTTTTTGTTTTCTTTCGTGTACCTAAATTATTATGATCTGAGTTACACATAACTGCTGTAAAAAATTGTTTCAATGAACAATACTGTTTGAACAATACTGTATTGGGATATGTTTAATGTAGGTAAAAGAAAGCATGAGATAGAAAACTGAATATTCAAGCAATAGAGATACTACTGTATTTAAAACTGGCACCCGTTATTTCAGTACATCTCAAACGCGTTATTTATATATATTTTAACAAAATTACGCTTTTAATCAGTTTCATAAAACCAAACTTTACAAAGTTATAGATATGCCTTCTACTTCTTTAAGTAATCACTATGTACAGAGAGTTTAAAAATTATGGAATAAACTAAAACTTACAAATTCTTTATGCCAAGAGAAATACAAAATTCCTGCATCAGTGTCAAATTCAAACTTTTGTTTTTAAGACATAAGTACTTCAGACCTTTGAGTACACACTGGTAACTGTATGTAAACTTCTTAATATAGTCTGTTGAAATTTATACTAAAATAAAATTTTATTACATATTAAACCTAAATAATTTTTTGATTTCTCTGAACATAAGTAATTTGTAAACACTTAAGTGACCTTAAAATCTCTACAAAATTTATGTATAGTGCCGTCTCGATAGGGGATTGGTCCTGGCATCTAACAATGAACTGCTATCTAGTGGAAGATACATAGGCACCTTAAACCAGTGCACTCAGTAATCCACGCTATATTATATAAATAATTAAGTTAACTTAACTTCTTTAATTCATTCAACAGTTTTATACATGCACGAAAAACATCGACACAGGCTTCAATTTCCATTTAATAGAATGTATGTCCTTATCGCATTCTACTAATTTAGTAATTCATAATTGATTGTTAAAATTAATTAATGTGACTTATTCAAGTGTTTAATTTATTTCATATCGAAATTTTTTTGCAAGACCTTTAATTTTTTTATGAAAGCAGAATACAAACTAATACAAAATTTTATTGCTTAGTAATATAAAAAAAATTGTATCCTGCAACACAAGTAAGCTTGTAATGAATAACAAAGTCTAGTTTGCATGTAGGCTATTTGACAATGTGCAAATAAAGTGAGCTGATAGCGAATAGCTAGGGCTTTAACTCTAGTTTATGGCAAAGCAAAAGAGAAAGAAAAAAGTGGAGAAGATAGTGACAAACTATTATAGAGAGGACAATTATATGTAAATAGAAATTACACTTCATATTGTTAAGTTTCTTCAGATTTTAAGATCTTTGAAGTGTTCTTTAAATGGAACCTATATTTTCCTAAAACAAATGGTCAGGGTATATAAAATAAATGTGATGATATTGTAAAGTACACGATTTTGTTGTACTTAACACATTAAGGACCGCAGAGAAATCTGTAAGACATACGCCTGGGACCGCACGTTTTTGTGGCAAACTTGTACAACACGAGAAAACTCGTGAGCGGTCCGTAACAGATGGGACGCGAAACACGAGAAAACTCGTGAGCGGTCCTTAATGTGTTAAAGTACTAGCAAGAGTACACACATAACAAAGTATAAGAATATGGAAGAATATGTCACAGTAAAAAGAACAGTGTGTCTCTTTGCAAATTCTAGAAATATAGGCGATATTTAAAGAATGGCTTGAAATTTTTATATGCATAAGTAAGGATGTTACAAAAATAAAGCTAAATTTATATAAAATGTTAACATAATAGAGTAAGTAAACAAAATTTGTACACACTTTCAGAATTTTGTATTACACATTCATAATATATGAAAACATTAATATTACAGATCATTGTGTTACATCAGTTAACTAAATGTTACAATACAGGTTTTCAGTAACCTAAGTAACAATCGTTAAACCTGTTCTAAGGTTTCTAATTTGTTACAATATGAATATAACATTCTATTGCATATTATTAATATTCATATATACGTCATGCAAATAACATTTATTTTGCATGTTTTATCTTGCATTTCTTTATATATAACTGTTCTGAAACATAATTTTTCATTTGCTTTAATAAAAAATTATTACTAAACAATATTATTCAGATGCTACAATTTCTCTAAAATATCATAACAATTAATCCTCCAGTGTATGGGTGAAAAGTACTCAAATGGAGAAACAATATTCTCATGGGTCTGATGGACCCAACTGTGCATGGGAAGGCCAACATTTAAAAATTTTATTTCTGAATACAAGTTTTTGTAAACTCTCTTCATTTCCCTGAGTTAGTAAAGTATATAAATTTAGCTATATTTTTTTGGACAAACTTGAATAATGTTTTACACAAATGTGTGTGTGAATGTGAATGTATGTTTAATGATAGATCGAATTTATAATGACACCAAATAATTATAAATGATTTATACAGATATCATTTATTTAATTTTTATCTTATAAATATTTAATAATTAGTATTGTATAAATCACTATACTAGTCAATGTCTCTCTTTATTTAAAAAAAATAATTTATAGAACCATGTTTTCATATTATGAATATTTAAAACAAGTTCATAAGATAATTTATAACATTTATTGAAAGCACTTTCTCAGTGCACTAACATATCATTACCGAAAGGAAAAGTTACAAAATATTACACATGGATGATTTTTATAAAATGATCAATGTGATTGTCTTTAGAACTTACAAACACATGAGCGATTTGTTTTCATTAAAAATACACGCTTATGTAACAACAATGTATAACACAAGCAATGTTTTTTAGACATTTTTAAAATTGAATCTATTTTTATATTTACTAGAAATTTAATGTCAAATACATTTACGTAATAAGTTGTCAGATTTTATTGTGAATTTTATATACATATAAAAAGTGCATAAAATTTAACAGTTTTTTCAGGTTATAAAGAGTGAACCACTCCAATTAAAAAATAAAAAGGATGTAACTTGTAGGTTTGCATTATTTGTAAACTATGTAATTCGGCACATAGCATTTTCTAATGCTCTCCTTCTCTTGTGAATTACTACTGTGTGTATTAAAGTGCAAGTTCCATTTAAACACTTGAAGTAACCTGTAAATATTTTTAATGCACAGATGTGCACAGATATAAAAAATAATTTAAACATTTTAAACCATGAACTGAATATTTTCAAAACTAATTTGTTAGATCATTTTATAGAATTATCTTACAGATAAGACCAAAATGGTTGGTTGCATGTACAAATTCATGTAAATATTTGCATTTTACTAGGAAATGTAATTGTCAAATATAATATATATACATATGTATGTCTACACAAAATATAAGTAGTTAACTATTAATTTCTTTTTACCTTCCACTTTTTTTCTTCTTAATATTTTTCTTTAAAATATAGAATTATGACCTTTAAAAAATATGGTCGTCTTTGCAATTCATAGTATGTATGTAATATTGTAATAAAAATATTTACAATCTTCTCTAAGTATATAAAATATTTGATATCTAAATTTCTGTAGTTATACGTATTTATTAATTTGTTCTCAAAACATATTATGTACATAGTATAAGTATGAGTGAAAGCAACGCAACGCACACCGCAACGCACGCGCTTCTTTCTCCCCACCACTAAACACGAGAGAAGGAAACACCGGAGACACCACGGAGGGAAAATGTAGGGATCAACGGTTGGGAAATAATTTATACACGTCTAAACTGGTCTAAACTGAACAATAACAAATTTATTATAATTATTTACAAAAACTTAGCAACGATAAAATAAACATAAAAGCTGAATATCTAAATTAATTAATAGAGTAGTATCAAACCGAGGTGGGTACGTATTTTACACCATGTTATAAATGCGTTTACGCACGCTTATATACACATACACCATCCTTTTCCACCAAATACCGATCATTACGCAGGACATTCTCAACAGCGTACGGTCCGAGAAATTTGGCGCTAAACTTTCCGTGCGTTGTTGGTTGCTTGATTAATTCCTGCAAAGCCTGTCCTAGCATTTCCGATGAGAAATGCTCTCTTCCTAGGATTGTCGAGGTATCAGATGTAACGTCCAGTCTCGAGAGGTCAAGTATTAACCCCTGCAGTCCACTTTTTTGTTTTTCTATTAGCTTTTCTGCATCAACATCCCTCTTAGTTACAGTCAAATGTCGTCTTTGAGCTGCTTCTATGAGGGATGAGGGCACCCCCGGAATATTACCTGAAAGAACCTGTTCGAATGACGGACCGCCAAACTGTTTTTTCCATGCTATAGCTGCCCCGGTAAGATATTTAAAGTTTGTGGCCTGAAAGGACGTGTCATATGGTTTAATGATCCGATAATACGGCCACAGCCCCCTCAACTCATCCTGAATCCTCTCAACCACAGGCAGGAAATCGTCAAAATTTTCGTATACCCTTTTGTCCAGATGGGCATACGTGATAATTTCAGTAGTTATGAACTCGGCGAGAGAGCGTGTGTACATGCTCTGACTGTCCCCACTTCTGACGCTTCAGAAATTCCTACCCGCACGTACCTCTTGCCTCTCGAACTCTCCTGCTCATTCGAGATGCGCGGATTCCGCGCCGCGGAACAGTTCTGCTCTTATTTGGAATTTAGTGTACGTATATGTCAGTGCACTTTATAGGTTCGACGAAACACGTTATAAATTATAAATAGATATTTTCATTCCAGTATACGACATTTACGACACATTTACGACATTTAAGACATGTGTCGCGTATAAAATAAAAAATTCGCGTATTTACCCACTTCTGGTATCAAACTTCAACAGTCAAATTTGGCGCGCAAAACCACACACTTCACACCACTTCACACAACTGTACCCTGTACACACCTATGTACAAGTCCCTACGCCCTACATTACTCCCCCCTGAATGAAGAGGGTATCTCAAATGTAACTTTTTTCTTAGGACCAGAGTAAGTACGTAATGAAACATTTTTATTAACAGTAATAGTTTGTTGTAATAAATTATCTGAACAATGAATATATATGGATTTAAGTCTATCAACAGAAACATTAACTTTTTTGTCTCTTACTGAAAGTGTAGAAACCCTATCATTCAATCTCTCAACTATCTCAAAAGGTCCAGAATAAGAAGGTTGTAAAGGACGTTTAACTTTGTCTTCTCTAATAAAATATGAGAAGTAGTCGCAAGATCTCTATGAACAAAAGGTGTACATTTATTATGATGATTCGTAGGTTTAGGTCACAAATCTCTAATTTTTTCCCTAATTTCTTGAATTAACATTTCTGGTTCAACACTCCAATCATCGTTTTCAAAAAATTCACCAGGAATCCTTAAATGAGAGCCATACAACATCTCAGCTATAAAACATTTAATGTCCTCTTTAAAACAAGTTCGAAGACCCAAAAGAACAAGAGGAAGCTTATCAACCCAATTGTCTCTAATAGTAGAACTTATAATGGCTGACCTTAAAGAACGATGCCAACATTCAATAATACCTTTGGATTCTGGGTGATAAGAAGTAGTACGAGTTTTAACACAGCCCAAGAAATTAGTAAGACTCTTAAACAATTCTCCTTCAAATTGATGTCTTCGATCTGTGGTAATAACAACAGGAAAACCAAACCTTGATATCTAAATATTTAAAAAAAACTGTAATATCTGTATCAGCAGTGGTATCTTTAATAGAAACGGCTTCAGGCCATCTACTAAAACGATCAATTGTCAGACAAAATTTTTTACCTTTAATCTCTGGCAATGGACCAATAGTGTCCAAGTGAACTTGATAAAAACACTGATCTGGAGTTACAATTTTGACAATGTAAACAAGTTTTAGTCCAATAATTAATGTCTTTGTTCATTCCAGACCAAACAAAATTTTGCTGAATCTGATGCCTTGTAGCCTTAACATCAGGATGTGATAAACCATGAACTACATCAAAAATTTTCCGTCTTAAACTCAAAGGTAATAATGATCTAATTCTACCATAACGAGTATCACAAAATAATGGAAATTTAGTTCCAGATAAATTGAATTCCTTAAGTTCCAAAGACGTAAACCTTGAAGGATTTCATTCATTTCCTTGTCGTTAATTTGCTCTGTAGCAAGTTCATCAGTAGATACAATAACTGGTAAGTCAATAGCATCAATAGTTTCATCTCTAGATAAGGCATCAGCAACAAAATTCTGCTGACCGGAAATGTGTCTAACATTGGTACAAAATTGTGCAATAAAATCGAATTGCCGAACTTGTCGTGGTGAAGCCTTATTTAATTTTTGCTGAAAGGCATAAGTAAGAGGTTTATGATCGGTATAAATAATTATATCTCGACCTTGAATAATGTCCTTAAAGAATTTAAGACTTTCATAAATTGAAGGTGCAGGAAACCGCAGTCAGGTCAGGTACTGTCAACACTGCCTGTGATAGACTTTTTGTAAAGCGGACCCCCGACTGATTTTACGACTAGATACTTTGCGGCTGACCGAAGACCCATTGTTGAAACCACAGTCAGGTATACGTACGGCTCTGACTGCGGTCTTATCAATGGGTCTTCGGTCAGCCGCAAAGTATCTAGTTGTAAAATTAGTCGGGGGTCCGCTCCACGAAAGCGGTATCACCGACTATATGCCACTTTCAGCTATGCGGTTCCAAGGAATAAAACGAAAAAGACAGGAATATTTGAAAGAAATTTACGTTTTCGTAAGCTTCCATTGGGAATAAAAGGGCCAGAAGTATTTTAAATCTGAAATTAGTACGCTATAAGAATTTGTTTAATTACATTAAAACGGAAAAACCGATCCCAAATTGACGTCGTACGCCCCTGAACGACGGTCGAGCACAGTTTTTAGAACTCAAAGGTATCGAATGACAGGATTAGCCTACCTAAACACATAAACTTTAGGGTCGGTCAGGTTTATGGCTAACGTTATATCTTTGAAGTAGCTATAACTCGTACAGTATCGTAGTCGACGAAATGGGATTACTGATGTCCACATTACGGTCGTAGAAAAGGGCAACGAGTGAAAAAGAAAGAGGGATTACTTAGTTCCTCGTTAGTACATCTTTTTGGAGCCGAAAAACGGACGCATAGAAATCTGTTTAAGACATCTACCTATAATGCAATGAATTTTCATTAGAGAACGGGATTGCTTTTCTTGCTCCATTGTTACATTCTTACGACGTTTATCTCGATATTCTTTTGATTTTTAATTAGGATTCTTTCATTTATAGTTTATTTATTAATTTAGAATTTATTTGGAATTTACTTAGAATTTCTTATTTTTAAAGATTGGACATTATTAGTTATTGTAAAGTTCAAATACGGATCTTCTATAGCATTTACAGGTCAGTATGCAGTTAAGTTCATTCACAGACTTTCTAAAGATTGCTGTCATACACAAAATCTGTTTAGAGATTTAATGATTATATATCTTTCACTTATTTTTATAAAGAAGTAGTATTTGTTTATCATTATTTTAAAAAACGTGTATTTACTTACAAAATGTGCTTATAAGAATTTGTAATAATCATATTCTTAAATAATAATTTAGTATCGCAAAATTGCACAATTAAATTATATCACATTTTTTCAACATTCTAATTTTATTGCCTTAAACTACATACCTGAAAGTATGTCAATGCATGTATGCAAGACTTTTTATATTTTTTGAACGTACTAAAGTTTGTTTACTGAAAATAAATAAATAAAACTTTCGTACCTTATTTAATTTGAGAGGTACTAGCTGAACATAAACATACTGCCAATTAGTTTATTATTTCGTTACCCACAATAAATAAAATTATTGTAAATAAATGATGTGTAAATTAATTTATATCTAAAAATTTACTTATTGCCAGAAAGTAATTGTTTGAGCGTGTTAAGATTCTTATATCGCATTACATCAAAATGTAACAAGAAGGACATGAAAACGAATTAAAAGACGTGTAAAAAGTCACATTACTTTTATAGATAACTGAAAATATATATACATTCGCGCGGCATGGTTCATAAGTATAAGTTTTAACCGAAGCATCACATATTTTTGTTCCCGCCAAATCATATTAAATCATGTAACACGAATGAGATATACATACAATATACCATTTATGTACATATTAATAACACCCATAATTCATGCAGTATCGGTAACGTTGGGTAGTGACAATTTAACGGTGTTGGGGCTATTTGGCCCCGTGAAATGGGGCGACGTCGCCCCAGAAAGTGGACCGAAAGAATACATTGAATGAAATGTCTATTCCTATACTTCGTCTGTGATAACGCGACGATGTATGTAGTTTCAATTGATTGGGTTTATTTATTTTCTGTAATTCTTATGTTGTTTTGCTGAATGTATAAATATTTACGATTGTATAATAAAGTAATTTAATGAAGAAAATACAAAAAATTCAAAGTACAAGATACCTTTTCACGGAAGAGAACGTTGACAAAATTGGTTTTTAATTTTTTTAACTATGGCGCAACAAACGGAAAAATCTAAAATAATTCTAAGATAATAGTAATAGCAATACCTACCTACTATAAAAACGGCAGTATACTTCTGCATTTGTTTTGACACGAAATCGGCATTATTCAGCATTTTTGTGATTTTATATTTCGCGACTTGAATTTTTAATTTAAACAAACAAAAAAAATTCTATAATATGTGGCCCGATAACTAAAATGTCTGATTTTTTTCCAAATTTTTCATTCGCTAGGATAGCAGAAATTGGGCAAAAACGTGATTTTTTATTTTTGCTCATTAATACCCCCCAGTAGAGATACAAAGCTGAAACTTGGTACACATGGGTTTTTTTTATAAGCTATCGAATGAGCCATCGCAAGTTGAATGTAGTTTAGGGACACATTTGACCCCCTTATAGGGCTATAGCCACTCAAAATTTTATACAATTTTATAGCAATACACATTTTATTAGGTTTAGTATATTAATATGTGCTGTGAATGCATAACATCCGCATTAATTTAGTAATAAGAAATAAATTGACACACTATGATTTAGGTAATTAGTGTGTGTTTGGTGACTGTCCCTGTATATGCGAAAGAACATGAAATTCATAAATTGGCGGGTTTTTATACAGGAAGCTTCCTGAAATGTCGCACGCAGCCGGATGTTGCGCGCGCATACCAAATGAGCTAACAAAGGACACTTGGCGTATTACATTTTGATATATTCGAAAATAAACAATTAATTTCCCGAATATTTAATCGAGATATTGTTTTACGTCATTGCACGGATATTTCTTGAGTGACATTCGCGTAGAATTCGATGAAAAATCGTCCGTTCGAAGAATGGTACCAGCGCGTAAGTTTGTGCGGGATGGGCGAGGGACGCCATGACAGTCGCATCGTATTTTCTGTTAACAGCGAGCACGTAGGCCCTTGTCAGTGTTTTCGTGAAATTGTTGCGCATTTTGTCGTCTATCCGGATCAAAATCGGCAGCCCCGATTCCCAAGTTTCGCGGAGTTCGGTTTGAATATATTGTGGTGGTGGAGGGCGAGGGCGCGTGGCCATTATCAGGGATTTGCTTGTGGGTACCCGTGGCGAGGTGAGACGTCGAGAGGCGGCGAAAGGCGTCCCCCCCTGCATCGGGACGCGTGTCCTCCGTGTGTACAAGACGGCCTAGGGCCGACCAAGCGAGATGCCAGAACCGCCGACGGCACCGTACACCACGTGAGTCCACCGAGTTCCCGAGCTCTCTCGATTATCCCTTCAGCCCCCTCGAATGGTTTCTACGAATCCCCTTGCCCCGAATCCCAAGGTACCTCCATTTTGTCGCCTCTCGTTCTCATTCTACCAGTCACGATAATTGATGCGTCATATGCCTGAGAGACACCAGAAGATGGTGCCCGTGAATCCTCTTTCGAGCGCGGGGGGATCTACGGCAACTACTGGGAAATGTGGGAGCACAGCTGCGTGCTTGTACGAGCCGCTGGTACGCTAACATTTTTCTTTCTCGCTCTTCATGTTTCTCGCTTTCGAAAGATTCTATAAGATGACTCACCTCTTCCCGCTCACTCGACCAAAAAAAAAGTTCTTAAATATTTTTGAGGTAATGTAACTATCTCCTTTTTGCATTTCTGCGACATGTCGATTGTTTTTGTCGCGATATTAACCTATTATACGAACATTATGTAATATAAGTTTACACCCAATGAATTCTTTTGAATTCGTTACGTACGAAGGATTGTTTCTTCTTTGATTCTAAGCTACGTGTTTCGAGGTTAAATCGGAAGTTTCGTTTCACCAGTCAGTTGAGACGGTACAAAGGGCGATATTTAATTGCATTATAACCACTTACTAATATTTGTCTTCGTTTGAACGAGATACTGAATTTTATGATCCTTAACATTTTTCTGGAATTGCAAAAACACATAGTACTTAGTATTAAGTAATATTACTGGACTGGAGATTCATACATTTACGGCATGCACGATTGTATAAAACTCGGTATGGTAAAGTGGATAAGGTTCCGTAACATTTGATGAGGTTTATTTTAATTGGGGCTTGAATTTACAATAGAGCAAATAAGTTTCTATTTGATTTCAATTTTTGGAAATTAGTTTGTAAAAACCTGTATTTGTGTAAACATCCGCGGTGTAATATTAAAAGTAGCCTAAACGAACAAACTACTATCAGTTAGTAATACTTAATTTTAATTGTTTTGCAGAAGGAGAAATGAAGTATATCAGAAATACTTAGCTAGTATACTCCAGTGAAGCAATATGAACAGCGAGCAGCATGCATTGCCAGCAACTACGCAGGCACAACAAGAGGTAAGGCTATGTTCAATTAAAACAGGCTATTTACCAAACTACAAATGCGCAACAGACATGTTCTGTTAACACTAAAGTTGAGAAAGATTACAAAATAAGTTAAAATCATTGTTGATTAAAATATATTATTCATTCTTCACAAAATACATTATACTTCTAAATTTAGTACTTTTGATATCTGAAAGTATTAGTTGAGTATACGTTAATTTATATTAACAGTTTTGTAAGCAGTTTTCTTATTTATGCTTATGAACATTTATGCATTATCATAGTATAGTTATATATCTGCATTTAGCAATACAATATAAATTTATTTGTAGTGAACATTTGTGCACATGTAGTATGTTCAAAGTAAATTTGACTGCTTGTAGCACCTTTTAATGATGTAGTTTATGCTTGAATGTTTTATGTTTATTTGCTTGCCCTCTTTTTTTTAAACTTGAAACACAGCAGCACAAAGTTCTATGTATTTGGAGTAAAAATTTCTGAAGGTACTGTAACACATTTATGATCTTTATTATAAACTTATAAATAATATAATCAAAAATAATTTTGTATAGTTTTGCAAATTAAGTTAGACACATAATTTTATTGTTTATCTTTTTAATACATGAATTTTGTACTTTGTAAGGGATAACAGTATTGCTAATAATTGAACACTGTAGCTTCCATGCTTCTGAAAATATAAAATCATATCTAGCGCATTTGTTGATTGGAATTGGTCCTGGTGCATGCTAGTGCATGCCTTCTCAATGTTGTATAAATGTTTGAATGTATATTGGTAGGATGTAAATGCGGGTCAAAGTGGTCGTCCTTCATACCCAGGTGGTTTGGCTACAACAACTAGTCTTGGCAATGTAGGGAGTACCCCACATTCATCCGCAGACCTGCGTGTAGGTACAGCCGTAGCGTTAGCCTCCTCGGTAGCTAAATATTGGGTCCTCACCAATCTGTTTCCTGGACCGCTACCTCAGGTCTCAGTCTATCACCATTCCCACCACAACTCCTCGCACAGGAGTGGTGGAGGTGGAGAGGCATCTTCGAAAGAGCCAGCCTCTTCATTGAATCAAGAAATGGCGTTAACTACCAGTTCGCACCATCAGTCTACACCTACGCATCATCATCATCATACTACAGTTAGCCCTAGCAGTCATCATAGTTCTTTACAACCAAATCCACAGGTTTGTTTATTTAGAGGTATGCACTTTGTAATGTCTAGTTATTGAGTACAGCTTATAGAATATCCAGGTTAGAGTCTCCCTTTGGAGGGATTGTGGGAATGTAGTATCTATATTGTGTGCAATATAATATAAGTGTTAGTAGGTAGCCAAGTTATGTATTACAAAACAGATATGTGACATGTTCAGTGTTTCAGATTAGTAATTTCAAACTTGGCTTTATACAAAAGCTTATTTGCTATTTTAGTTTTTTTGTCTTACTGCATTTTATTGTGTAAATCATATTAAATACTCTATGTAGTTACTAAGATTAATGATTATAATTTATCAATCATTATTATACTTATGTGGCCATGTCAGTTGGCAAAAATGCATAATGTAAACTATGTTATGCTCAAAATGCATAGCATTTTTAATCTTTTAATCATCAAACATCAATTCACTATTTTGAGAAAAGAAATTAATGATTCTTCTGTATCTTATTCAGCAGATTCCAGTGTCTCTGCCAGGCCTTAATTTAGACGGAGCGCATATACCTGCCAGTGTCAGTCACTTACAGGCAGCACATGCACAAATGCAACAACAAATGCAAGCACAACAGCAACAGCTGCATCAGCAACAACAACAGCCACAGCAGCAGCAGCAACAACAACAGCAACAACAACCCCCGCAACAGCAACAATCTCACCATCAAATGCAGAATCATCAAAATGCTCAGAATAATGGACCAACTGCACATAATCAAAACGCACAGAGAGACGAAAATAAAGTGAAAGATGAAGGTGGAAGTTGCACAACTGAACGTTGTAGCGACAATCAAGTTCACTGTCAAGTTCAGTGTGACCTACAGTTACAAACATCCCAAGATTTACAACAAAGTCTTATGCAGCAACAGCAGCAGCAGCAACAACAACAACAACAGCAACAACAACAAATTGGTGTGAATATAAGTGGGAATTCTTCAACTGAAGGTGGAACTCAAAGCAATTCAGAAAAGCCTGAAAAGGAAAAAGAGCTACGTCAATTGAATATGACACAGTACGTTTGCACAGTTTTTTTATCTATTAAATAGAATAATTTTTTAATATAGTGAATGATATTACAATTTTTGTGTAGATTCCAAGTGCCAGATTTAAAACCTGGAGGGCATATGATGGATGTAAGGACAGCTGATGGTTCTGTTGTAAAAATTAGTGCTGGAAATGAACAAGATTTAGCAAAAACACTCGGTGTTGAAATGGTGCAAAATATGTATAAGGTAAAAAATGTCATAGTGTTTCGTTTAAGATATTTTACACACATGGTTATCATAATTATAAAATATTTACTATATTTTTTAGGTCAATGTTGAAGATATTAATCAGCTTCTAGCATATCACGAAGTATTTGGAAAATTACAAAGTGAGATAGCAGCTGGTACTACCTTAGTTGGAAGTACAGTTCCTACTCAAACAGTTACCACTATACAAAATGGAACACCAATTGTACAACAAGTTCAGCTAAATAAATTTGATATTAAATCAAGTGATGGTGAAGCTACTCCTGGACCAAGTGCATCACCAGTATCGGTTGGAAGTCATGCTTGCGAAATTTGTGGAAAAATTTTTCAATTCCGTTACCAACTTATTGTACATCGTCGGTATCATACAGAAAGAAAACCTTTTACTTGCCAAGTACGTTGCATGTTATATGAACCCAGTAATTATTGTTTTATTAAATTTTTGTTTATTATATTTAGAATCTATTAAATTCTGCAGGTGTGCGGCAAGGCGTTCTTAAATGCAAATGATTTGACACGTCATGGTAAATGCCACTTAGGTGGATCTATGTTCACTTGTACAGTGTGTTTTCATGTTTTTGCAAACGCGCAATCTTTGGAACGTCATATGAAGCGTCACGCTACTGATAAACCATACAATTGTACAGTGTGTGGGAAAAGCTTTGCCAGAAAAGAACATTTGGATAATCATACTCGTTGTCATACTGGAGAAACACCCTATAGGTAAGTGTAAAGATGTTTTTCAATTACTGGTAATTAGACAAAATGTTTAATACGTTCGGGACAAACTTGCGGTGACTGTTTGCGCCGCATGGGTAACATACACCCATGTCGTTGAACAGTTTTATTTAGATTAAAAATAAAACATTAAAAAGGAAATTGTTAAAGGCATCATTGTACTATACGAAATATCAAAAGCTTTCAATCTAATGAATGCATGGTATTTATACATTATTCGTTAATTATATGAACTATTATATCATTGCATTATTGTGTTTGTGAATTTTTGTTTTATATACAGTATTCAAATATAAATGAATATATTAAGTAGCTCATAGCATACACTAACTTCAGTTGTAACATTTATTATGATGCACGTGTTCCGCGATATTAATATTTACATTGCGACGTAAGTTAAACGAAAATTTATGTGAGTTATTGTTGACTGATGTGTTAAATCTGTGGTTGTAAGGCAAAGTGATATACACTCCCCTCTATTAATCACGGGACATTTATGTTACTAAACGTAACATAAGAAAGTTAGTGTTAAAAACATACCTAAACTATGACACTCACGAATTCTTATTAATTTTTCACATTGTTAAGAACATGTACATTATATTCATTGTAGCAAACAGTCTCAAATGTCTGTTTAATTAGTGTGTTCGTTTCATTAGGAATATTCATCTCAATGAATCGTGACATTTTAGCAGCGAATTTTTAAAAATAATTCTCCGTTTCCACTCAAATCAGTCTGTACTCGCTTCCACTAGTTCTTTGTTATTTTTTTTTTTTGCGCGTTTAGATATCAGCGCCGGAATTACTCGACTACATTAAATTGGTTCAACTATGAATAGTGTTGCAAAATTTACAACTGTTTATTGTTTTGTAATTTTTGTCAAATATTTTTGAAAGATGTTTGAGGTATATTTAAAGATCACTGTCTTACCGAAAAATGGAATAAATTAGTGGAATTGCTTCAAGAAATTGCATTTCTGTTTCGATTTCTATTTTTTTTTCAAAGCAATCAAGTGTTCCATAACTTATGAATGGGAGTGCAAGTCACGTGTTTTCACTTCTGAAATATTTCCGTTTAATGTTTTAACCACCAATTCTTTTTGTTACCAATCTTTTTCTTGTTTCCTGTTACAATATAGAAAATATAGATGTATGTTTTCCTTAGTTTGCATAATATTTTATATTGGTTTAATTAGCGTAAACTATAAATAAAAAAAGTAAACAAAATGATAATTTACGTACCTTTAGGCAGAATAAAGCAAGTGCACTGTACTTATCCTCCTGTGTCTGAACATACCAGATTTTACAAAGCATGCTTATTAGAGAAGGAACATTTTTTGGAATTGATTTAAAGAAAAACAGATCTGAATGGAAATCTGGATGAGAAATTAAAATTGTTTTACGAAGGTCCTTTACATATTACAATCGAAAAAAAATGATTTATTGTATATGCTATCTTTTACTGTTCTTGATGTACGATCAGTTTATCGAGAGCAAAAGATATAAGAAATGGTGATTCTGATATAGATTTCTTAGAAAACGATCAGAATAGAATCTTGAGTCAGTAAGTAAATGAAATTTCGAAAAGTCAAAATGTAATTGAAAAAAACAAAAAGAAGCAGTACGCAATGATTATTTTTTAAGTGACATCCTTTTTTGTGCACTGTTTTGTTTTGTATGTTATATGTTATGTATAAATTACTTATGGTCAATAAAGTATGTATTGTTACTGTTACAATAGAATTATAAAACATAGTTTTGTCAGTTTTAGTTTATATAAAATATGCAATATGCTGTGCCAGGTATATATTATTTATATTTAGTAAAGTGCATGTTATTTTTGTTAAAACAACAATATGAAACCTAAACGTATCTGCTAATTTCATCACATAGATTTTTCAAACTAAAATTGTCTGGACTTACGTTATATTAACACGCATAAATTAAATAATTGACATTTATCAAATTGCAATTCTTCTTCGAAGAGAAAAAATTGTTTTCATGTAAGTTTTTCTGATAAACAAAGATTTTAGTACTGAATTAATGCATAAAATCAAATTTTAAAAAAAAATGATTTATGTTGTTTCGCCTTACAACCACAAAATATGAGTGTGATATCTGATGACAAATATATGTTTTTTAGGGTAAATATTTTAATTTTTGTAGCTATTTACTTACGTTAGAATAAAATTGAAGTTGAAAGTAATGCATTTGTTGTTACTTTGTATTTCAGGTGCCAATACTGTTCCAAGACATTTACCAGAAAAGAGCACATGGTGAATCATGTTCGCAAACACACAGGTGAAACACCGCATCGATGTGATATCTGCAAAAAGAGTTTTACTCGCAAAGAACACTTTATGAACCACGTTATGTGGCACACAGGAGAAACTCCTCATCATTGCCAAGCATGTGGCAAGAAGTACACACGTAAAGAGCACCTTGCAAACCATATGCGCTCACATACCAACGATACACCATTTCGTTGTGAAATATGCGGTAAGTAACTATTCTTTCATTTATTTATTGACGTGAAATATTGTGTTCATGCGTAACACGATGATTCTAAATAACTTCAATATCTCATACAACTAAAAACATGTCACTTCTAAGGCTGTATGTACTCAAACAGTTAATATTTATTTGATAGATGTAATGTATATGTACAGTAAACTTGCAAAAGTTGCATGCATACATTGATGAACTATTCAATGTAATATTTTCTTTTTATTTAATTGATAAGATGAAGTGTTATTAGAAGTATGCATTTGATGTTACCGAAGTAGCGATACAGTTCGAAAGCAGATAAGACTACATCAAAAAATAAGTCAAGAATATAGAACAAAATTTATTTATTTGTTTTTATCTGTAATTTGAGAACAGGCTGTAGTGTACCATCTTTAATGTTTATTAGTACAAAATCAGCTACATTGATTCATCAGAAAATATTGTTCTATATTTGTAACTTACCTTTTTCATGTTGGATTACCCCTTTTCGGATTGTATTACTAACAACGAGAGTATCACGAGTGTTAATCTCACTTGTTTACACACTTTTTCCGGTTTGTATTATTCGTTGAACTGAACACGTTCATAATTCCTTTTGAACATAGACGGTTAACAGGTTGCGAGACATTTAACCACTCACGTCGTATGTATTACATTCAGATTAGGGATAAATCGATACCGTCAAGGTATCAATATTTTTACTCGTATCTTGTATCGAAAGAAAGAATTGATATCTACTCAGTATCGATACCTACATGTATTGAATGAAAATGAATATGTTTTTTCTTATTAATACACTTTATTAACTAATATTTATTTGACATATAAATCAATTAAAAAATAAATCTTTTGGAACTTCTCCCAGAAACAATAATTTTTCTAAATGTTATACAGAAAGTCGATTCCTGTTCTTGGTAATTGTTGCTCTTACCTTTGAAAGTAGTCTTTAGCAAGGAATTGTGGAAGCAACGAGCACCAAGAACAGTTGAACTTGTTTTGTAACAATGCATATATGTTTCTTTCATTTCTTCCCATTGTTCTAGCGGAGAAAAATTAAATCCTGAAACAAGGAGCAAATAAATAAATAGACAACTGGTTGCCTTTAGTATTTGTCTTCTTTTGCTGTGTTTATTGCTAATCCTTTGTGGTGTTGTTAAAAATCATAATTTGTCTTAGAAGCTTCTATTTTTGACTTAGAAATATCAGTTGAAACAGGAATATTTAGTTCCATTAATTCTTTCAATTTATATATCACTCTCTCACAAGCAAGTAAGCCATGAAAATTGATATTTTTCAATTGAGTGTTATACTTTATGTTTCAAAATCTTCTACTGATTTCTGCCTCCAGAGTTTCTTTTAAACGTCTTTTATGCAGTCGATTGCTAAGGTAAATTTTCATATTTCGTTTTTTAAACAATTTATCATTAGTATTATTTTAGATAAAGTAATATGTTGTTTCCCAAAGGACTCTATACTGACAAATTTCAGTAGTTTTACTAATGAAATTAATTCTTTAATGATATCTGTCTCTGAACCATTCAGCTTTCTGGACTTCAGTTAAATATTCAATTAAGTTTGATCTTCTAAAAATCATTTTCCACTAAATTTTCCGAAAGAATTGTTCATGTTTCAAGAAATCTTTTCAGCATATAGGTAATTAAAGTCCACCTCGTAGTAACATTGATTATCAATTTTTTAACTGATTCACTTAGAACTCCATTACGTAGTTGGATTTTTCTTAATTTGTCGGAATTAACCCTCCTCGAATCAGGTGAATAATTTTTAATACATACTTACTATTTGGAAGCAGTAGGTGCTCGAACCGATGCTCCTTAACTTCAATACAGCGACTTCATACAGTGATTATTTTGTAAATATCTCGTTAACTATTAGGTTTAGGACGTATGAAGGTCAACACATTTTTACTCCGAATTTGATACTCTATCGATCTATGGTACAAAAACTAGGTCATTCCTTTAAAAAAATCAAGGTAACCTTGAAATCTCTAAAATGCCTCCACCCACAAAAAAAAGCACGTACTTTATAAGATGTGCCCTTTGATGCCATTTAAGTTCAATGCCTCAAAATTTTCATAAAGTGTACCGTTAAGTCAAGTCATTATTTGAGGTGATTAAGTTAGCTGAGACACCCTGTATATGAAGTATCGAAGTGTGAAATATCGAATATAACCAACTTTGTTCATATCGATACTCGCTCCGTTCGATATGAGTACTAGCTTTCCGATACCGAGTATATGTCGTAACTGAAAGTATCGATACTAAAAATACTCGGTCTCGAAGCGAAATTATTGAGTATTTACTTGTATTTACTTGGATCAGTTCATCCATAAATCTGATGTGCGCGCTGTGTTTATAATAACCTGATTAGTGTGATGGGTTAAGTGTTGTGCTACGGAATCTGTGCTGACATTTAAGAGCTATGTTATAACCACATTTTATATTAAAATATACATAAAAACTTATGGCTCTATGTGTTCGTGCTGTTATTTCTTTGTACTGTAACTAGTACATATAAAATAAATAATTAATAAAGAAAATTTAATAAGTAAGGACTCGAATGCACGCCCTAAAAGTTGATAGAGGTTTTGCAGCCTGATACTTATCAATAGCGCTAATCAGAATGTTGCAATTGTAAGTGCATACATGAGAAGATAATATATGCAAGTGTAATTGTAAATACAACCGTCGTAACATATTAACCGTCTGTGCCCAAACGGGATTATGAGCGTGTCCAATACGATGAGTGATACAAACTGGAAAGAGCCCTTTGAAAAAAAAGGCTTAGAAAGTTCCTCTCCTAAGATCGAATCACCGAAAGACAGTAAGTGAACTCTATAAAACGATAGCCATCCTCGTACCTGATGTTAAGAACAATACTTTTCTCTCTTGTGTTCGTGTTTCGCGACACACAAGTGCTAACCTATATGTAAACCAAGAGATGCTACATATCTGTGTCTACACCAGATATTAAGGATTGAAAAAAGATGTTTTAATAAAGTCTGTTAATACTATTTGAAATATTCACGTGATCTGTAAGTCAGCAATAAAAACTGCAAGTGAAAAATACTGATTGACGCGTTGATTTCGCATGATTTTCCGTTTAGGTTGCGTGGGTCACCGATGACCCATGTTATTGCATTCATTATACAGGGCGTTCGACCACTAATAGGAAAAAATTTAAGGGGTGATGCTTGGTGGCGAAATAAGACGAAAATCAAGAGTAACGAAATTGCGACAAATGCTTCTTTTGTTAGTTATAAGCGTTTAAAAGTAGGCCTAAATGATGGCAATCCGCATGGCACGAACTGTCAGCGCGGCAGGGCTGGTAAGGGGCGTACAGTCACTTTAAAGACTCAACGATGTGCAGGAAAAGTATATAGAATATCTATCTGCTTATCTGGTAGAAAATGTCAGTAACTTGTAACGGCGGTATTTGCTTTGAATCCATTTGTATCGCATTAACCCAATTGATAAAATTCGCAGGAAATGTAAATATCTTCTTACGAATATTATCGATTAAGGAAGGTTAATACTCCCTCTGGTTATCATGTACAGTAATGGTCCTGTCCACGAGTTCCATGAAAGTAATCTACACCTGCACGTACATCACAGAAGTCCGCGAAAAATGTTCACCCACACATACTGCGATTGTTCCGACCTCAAAAAATGTTCACACACTACGCGATTAATTGGACCCGCGCTCAGTTCCTCCGTTGCGGTTACCACTGTACACGTTACACAAAAATAACACCCACAATAATTCACTTATAACTACTATTTATACTAATTTTTAATCTACAATAATTACGTATTCTAACTATTAAATAATTACTACGTAATCACTAAATAAACTAAAACTTTGTTTTCGGAACATGAATATATATATATATATATATATATTATAAACTGTTCCAAGGGGACAACATTTAGATAGCCTAAAACCATTCCTGAGAATTGCGCTACACGATGAAACAAACCGGATCAAAATTGATCCAGTAGTTCTTGAGTTATAAGCGATCAGAGACAGACTTTCTTTTATATACAGGGTGTTAATGTTAACTCGAGCACCTACATTATTTCCGCCACTATTTAAAGTAAGAAAAATGATCAAATAGGATGTACATGGTTGTAAGGCGTGCATCTGATGGTGACAAAAAAATCCTGTGAAGGTCATTTTAACAATTTTTTGAAGGTCATCGTATTTTTTATGCATGTTAACATGTATTTTTTATAACGCAATATGGTAGTCGGTGTCAAGATGAGTTCAACGACCTACACACGATGACCTTGAAGTGACCATGAAAGGGAAAAAATCAGCTTCAGTTTGAAGAATGCAGAAGTAAATAAACGTAATAAGAATTAAAAAACCTTTTATCACCATCAGATGCACGCCTTAAAACCATGTACACCCTATTTAGTGATTTTTCTTACTTTAAATAGTAGCGGAAATAATTTAGGTTCTCCAGTTAAAATTAACAGCCTATATATAAAGAGGATACGGATTACCATCAACTGTTGCAAGAGAATCATTACAAATGAAGTTATTCATTATCAATGATTTCCAAAAGGTTGAATTTGATTTGTGCAAGAATGAATTCGATTTGCAGACGAGTGAATTTGGAGTGCAAAATCTGTATAATTGGTTTATAATATCAGTGATATTTTTAAAATCGCGCTAATTTCTGGCAATACATAGAAATTATTTATTTGGTGCATTTGGAAACATGAATCTTTCTTTTTTACCAGAGTATTTGTCGTCGTTATCCAAATCCGTTATTTGTTAGGACACTTTTAACTTGTTCAAGTGTGGTAATGCCAGTTGTAATTGAAAATTGCAAAATTTTTTTTGTAATATTTATTAGCATGTTCACCTTTTTTTGAGTCGATAGCATATATAATTGACGGAAAGGTAATAAGTCCGGGAGCCAGCGACACATTTTTTTGGCCAATTTGCTCATAGTTGGTTTATCTTTTATTTGACTACATTTGTGCTACACATCCACGAAATCGCCTCCTGCCAGCACATCAGCGGAACAACGCTTGACAGCAGCGTGTCAACTATATAAAAAAATCATGCGTATAATCTTATTTGCTCAAACTTGAACATTTTTCTACTAATTACCGACACCATAACGCGACAAAAAATGACCTCCTGCCACCTTAATTGCGGAACGGCATGCTACTGCCACTCGCATAAACATGTTAAAAAAAAGTAAGTTGCTTGACTAAAATGTTCAAAGCTGAAACTTTTTTTGGTGATAGTTTATGTCATAAAATTAAAGAAAAGGCGAGTGACGGGTGGGCTAAAACCGTTCAATGCAGATCTCTAGTCCGAAGTGCCCTTACGAGGTGAACTAACGAAGTGTATCCCGACTTTTTTTTTTCTACAACAATCTATGAAAGTAGTAAGGAGCACTCCTCCCTCATTTTCGGAAAATTAATGATTAAAACTGCGAAAATTTTAGTGGATCAGTATTTTATGCGCTTCTGTCCGGTATTTTCACTAATTAATAAGTCGGAAACGAAGCCTCGATTGCAATTTCGTCATTCTTGATTTTTGTGTCAGTTTGGCCATGTAGAATCCCCACTGAAAGTGTTCCACATTTTTATTAACACCGTGTATAATTGATATAGCATCGTTTTAACTAACAAGGGAAGTTCGGTAACCCAAAAATGCTGATCTTATTAAACTTTGCAGGTTTGTAGGGGACCTCAACAGAAGTATAGCGCAACTTTTGTTTTTGGCGCAATTTCAGTTCTTCAGGGTGAAAACATCCCTTGAAGGTAGATAGGTGTTTCCATATTTCCCTGTATATCTTTAAAACTATCGTAGGTGTAGAAAAATGGTTAAGATAAAAATTGAATGGTTTTTTATGCTCTATAAAACGATGCAATTACATTGATAATTAATAAAATTGGGGGGGGTGGGGTGTTTTTATTTAAACAAAGAATTTTTATCTATTTAATTGCATCGTTTTATACAGCATAAAAAACCATTCAATTTTTATTATAACCATTTTTTTATATCTACGATAGTTTTAAAGATATATAGGGAAATATGGAAACACCTATCTACCTTCAAGGGATATTTTCACCCTGAAAAACTAAAATTGGACCAAAAACAAAAATTGCGCTATACTTCTTTTGAGGTCTCCTACAAACCTGCAAAGTTTACAAAAAAATCGGAATTTTTGGGTTAACGATCTAGAGTTAATTCAACTTCTATACCATCACACATCAAACTCGGTTTAAGGACACTTGATCCCGCTTATCCAGCTGTACGTTTTTTCGAAATGCGCGAAACGTAGCTCGTTTTGAAAGCGAAATTTCATAGTGAATTCGAATAACTTCTACCGGTTGCTGAATTGTGTATCATTTCGTGATGATTTGCCAATGGTTGCTAATGACAGCCGTTAAATTTTCATGATAATACGTTGGACAGTTCACAAATGACTGCCGTTCAAAGATCTATCACTCGTATTGAAATACTCTTGTATATCTGGTTGTGTATCTATTCGATGTACACTTCCGTCCATAAGTCACCGGCCAGTTATGCTACTAAACATGAATTAAGAAAGAATTACGAGTAAAAAAGTTAGTTAAATTATGTAATAAAGAAATTCTGATTAATTTTGCATATTGTAGAGAAAATGTAAATTGTATACAGTAGTGTGGGACAATTTCAAATATCTGTTTAATCAGTGTGCTCATTTAATTCAGGAATATTAATCCGAATGAATTGTAATGGTTTAACAGCGAATGTTTCAAAATAATTCTCCCTGATTCTGCTCAGATTAGTCCATGATTACAGCCACGAATTCTTCGTAATTTTTCATGTGTTTTTTTGGCAATCAGTGCCAGAATTATTCATTTGTAACGAATTGTCTCGACTGTGAATAATCTTACATACAGGGTGTTTGAAAATTATGTCACGGCTACCGTAGCGCTATTCTACAGCTCTGGATTGGTGAAGATATGTAAAAGAAAGACACCGCAAAATTGATCTTAACCATGAAATTGAAGGTGAATGTTTTTTATTATTGCATCGTATTCTATTCGTTATAACGATAAAAAGTCTGAAAGGAACCATGGGTCGTAACTTAACCGTTCTCTTGGAAAATTATGTTAAAGTTACATTGGCATCCGCTCTCACTTTGTTTGCAATGTGCTTGCATTTTTCAGTCAAATGCAAGGTAAATAGCATCTATTGTCGCAGGTAGATACCTCAGATACACCATTATATATCCCGTATCTTCCTTTCTTTCTTGCTATGAAACGTTCACAGTTCGTTGTCCCATATATGTATGCGTCGCTGTTATCTACAGTACAGTCGTCTGCGTACAAAGGTCTCTCCACTTGACTGCGCGCGCAGACCTTTGCGTGTAGTTACGACGTCTGTACTTTAAGCGACAACTGACGCGTGCGTCGGGAGTACGCTAACCCATACATATAGGAGACAACGAACTGTTAACGTTTTGCAGCAAGAAAGAAAGAAAGGAAGGAAGATATAGAATATATGTATAATGGTGTATCTGGGGAATCTACGTTCGACAATAGATGCTATTTACCTTGCTTTTGATTGAAAAATGCAAGCACATTGCAAACAAAGTGAGTCTGAATGCGTATGCAACTTTAACATAATTTTTCAAGAGAACGATTGTGTTGCGACCTATGGTTCCTTTCAGACTTTTTATCCTCATGACGAATAGAATACGATACAATAATAAAAAAACATTGACCTTGAATTTCAAGGTGAAGGTCATTTTTACGATCTTTTGCAGATCTCCACTGATCCAGAGATGTAAAATAACGCTATGGTAACCGTGACATGTAATTTTCAAACACCTTGTATAAAGTTTACAACTGATCTTTGTTGTGTAATTTCTTGAAGTAATTCTGAAAGATTTTTGAGGTATGTTCAACCTAAAGATAGAATAAATCAGTGTAACTGCTTCAAGATATTGCATTTCTGTTTCGATTTCCATCGTCTCTTAAAACAATCAAATGTCCGGCGAATTTATGGACGGGATCCTGTAAATTGTAGGGGTGTGCGAATACTCGTAATTTACAAGCTGAACTGAACTCGGTTCGATTGCTCGAGTCGAGTCGAGCATTTGAATTTTCCGAGCTACTTGAAATCAACGAACTCTTTGAATAAAATGCGAGCTACTTGAGGAACTCAAACGGCTCAAATATTCGAGCGCTCGTAGAGACTTCGATTTACTTGAAAATGAATTTTCAGCTCGAAACTTTTCCAATTACTCGAATATATTCGAACAAATCTCTAACTTCCGAGTTATTCGTAAATATTCGAATTGTTCGAATTACACGGAACAGATAAAAGAAGAAAATTTTACTCGACGCTACTAATAAAACACTTTGAATTAAAACAGTATCTTTTATTCGTCGGATAATTCTCATCGAATAAATTTATTTATTCGACGCTCGTCGAAAAATGATACTTTTTTTATTCGAACTTCGAATAACAAATAAAATTTTTCTATCTTTTATTCGTTATTCGAAATTTTTATTTAGATACAAATTTTTCCCGTACAAAATTATTAACTGATTACGCGAAGGAAGTATGTTTTCTTCTTGAAAACATGAAAATAAATCAGAAGCATTAAATTAGACTCTTATATTTTTCATCCTTATAGTTAGATTATTATTTGATAGTAAATAGCTAAATATTCGAGTAATTCCAATATTTACGAGTAACTCGAAAGTTAAAGATATGTTCGAATGTATCGATTAATTCAACAATTTCCGAGCTGAAAGTTCATTTTCAATAAATCGAAGTATTACGAGCGCTCGAATATTCGAACCGTTTGAGTTTTTCAAGTAGCTCGCACTTTTTTCGAACAGTTCGTCGATTTTAAGTAGCTTGAAGAATTCAAACGCTCGACTCGGCTCGATCGACCGATCATTATTTGACTCGAAATTCGAGTACTCGCACACCCCTAGTAAATTGTATTTGGGATGTGTTCGACGATAATCTGTATTTTTGAATTTTGTTCTGTTTACCGCTGCGAATACAGGTAAGTCGTTTACGAGAAAGGAGCACTTCACGAACCACATAATGTGGCACACGGGTGAGACGCCGCACCGCTGCGACTTCTGCTCGAAGACGTTCACCCGAAAGGAGCATCTCTTGAACCACGTTCGCCAGCACACGGGTGAGTCTCCACACCGATGCGGCTTCTGCTCCAAATCGTTCACCAGAAAGGAACACCTTGTTAACCACATCCGCCAACACACAGGTGAGAGCGGTTGGCAGATTCCACTTCACGGACAACCGATTCTAATATCTATCTCTAAAAGTAGTTTAATACATGCATAGAAAATTACTTAGTATATATATATATATATATCGACTCACCAAACATAGTGTCATTGATATCAACACACACCGGATCGTTCGTGTTCGTTCAAGAATCAATCACTCTCACGATAAATGTGTCTATAGATCATCGTTTTTTACCCGCATTTCGCTCCCGGAGCGGAATCTAGGTTTCGCTTCTGACCGATCCTTAACTCTGAGCTGCATACTTCTTGCATGCTATACGCACGCTCCTGTTCGTAAGTATTGGGACACCTGTTATTACCAAAGAAAATGTGATATTTCATATAGGTTATGTATTTTTCTTTCCTATTTCTATTAATTTATATTATGGGCGCTTTCGTTTTATTTCGTAAACACAGGCGATTTTTTTGAAAGAACTGGTTTAATTCCTTTTTTTTAAATACATTTATACAGTGTATGTTTCCAAAATGGTATTACAATCTGGCAGGATGTGATTCTACATGGAAAAATAAGTTGAAAATATAGAATAACATTCTTTTCGTACGATGCTTCGTTTCCGAAAAAATTGAATTTGAAAAACTGCATTCTTGAATTTTCATCTTCAATGTTTATTGTTCATTGTATTCTGTTTCTACTTATTGTCACTATGAATACATACGCGTCAGATGAATTTTGAAAATTGATTATCTTGGAAACGCAGCATCGTACGAAAAAAATGTTCTACATTTTCGACTTATTTTTTCATGTAGAATCACATCCTTTCGAGTTGTAGCAGCATTTCGGAAACAATCTGTGTACATATATGTATATATTTGAGGACGATCCATAAATGTTTACATTAAAACATTCCCTAAACAGAATCATTAACCTTGAATTTTTCCATGGTTGCCAAGATTAACGTGTAGATCAATTAATGTGTAACATTTTGTACATATTTTTTATACGTTATACTTTTAAGATCCACATTAAAATTACAATGATACGTCCGACTTTTTTTTTACGGTAATGAATTAAGATTGAAAAATTAGTTAAACAATGGAATTTTGTTTTATAAATTAAAACTAATTTAATAGTAAAATATGTAAACACTTCTGAAATAGTTCAGGTGAAGTGTGTGTGTAGTTCTTTTAAAAAGTCACCTGTTTTTGATCCCCTCAGTGAATACTGCCCTTAAAGTAAATATTAACCATTGAACTTTAATATTGTCTGTGCAATATTAAAGTTAAGATAGTTTTTAAATGATTTTTTAAAGTTAGTTTTATCAAGGACAAGTGTCGTAATACTTATCGATCGCAAATCTACGTGTGTTGGTTATTTTCTCGTGAATTATTAAAAATAGACATAACATTTTTTGTCACAAATCCGTGGATTAATGGTTAAGACCACACGTCTTATATTTCTGTAGTACAGGATTTCTATAAAATACCTGTTCATATTTTGAACTAATCGGAAGCTAAATTATATAATTCTACTTTTTACAAATTCCCATATCTTGATATTCGCTGTAAACCAAATGGTCAGTTTAAATAATATAGTCCATGATAGTTATTTGTTCGTTGTTAGGTATTTAAGATTTCATGAAGTGTGTGAACTAGACTCCATACATTTATGCAAATATACATTTTCATGAACAAATTAAAGGTAATAGAAATAATTTTAAATCTAACGTCCTATATTAACAGTTCCAGTCGATTAAAAGCAAGTAAAAGCTAAGCCAAGTTCTACTGCTGTATTTTATTGTTTACTGCAAATTTTTATTATAAATGCTTAAATATTCACAATTTACTCACAACACTCCATTGTGCAGTAAAAGATATAAAAAAAATGTTATCTCTGCTTGCGATAAGTCTCGAGAATTTAACTTGTAATGTTGTACATGGTATATCCTCTGTTTGTATACAAGGTGTCTCAAGGTAAGTTTCGTTTAAAATAAATCTCCTTACCGCTATCGATAGTGCGAAAAAGTAGTATAGTGATTTTTTTGTTTTAAACATAAGATTTACTTGCATGAAAATAATAATTTTTATTTTCTTCATTCCATATTACTTCAAGATCGACTTGATTTTTCTAAATGGATTTGCAATATATTTATATCTCTCGTCGATACGCGTAAACCAGACCCCAATCCGAAAGTATATTCCAACTTTAAACCTTTGTGGCTGTAAAATAGAACCATAGGACATTTTGTGTTCTATTTGAGCTCTTCTGCCATCTTTTAAAATACTGATGCACTCTGTGGTAGGGCACAGGGTAGACGGGAGTCGAAAGTAACTATTTGACTTTGAAATACGTTTTCCTGAGAATATTATTGAAGTCATAACAGTTTAACTTTGTGATTAATAATGTCAAAATGATCAGTTTGAAATGGAAACGAGAGAAAAACCCGAAGCAAGTATCGGCTGTAACACTGTACGGGGTCGATACAAACACAATTTTAATTTCAAAATGTCAAAATATTTATTAGCTAGATTTTAATAAACGAAAGGAAAGTAAAATATAATATTTGTGTTTGTAAATGAGAAAATTCAAAATTATGTTAAATTATTTAAAAATTGTAAGGTTTTTACCCAATTAAGGTTTATTCAGTATCACAATTATGAGAAATTTATAAATCATTTTGTTCAGTGCACCCTTTATGTGACCAATCTTTACACTCAATGCATTGCATTTATTTTTTGTTTGATCTATTTGTACTGTATGACTCTAAACAAAACAAAATTTCTTTATTTTCAACGAATTTCTTTTTTCTTCTTTTTGTGTCAATAATAATACACAACAATAATTTTAGCCATTAATTTGGTCATACTTAAATAAAACAAAACTATGTACAAGAACTTCAATACAGGCTATAATATGATAGTTATAATACTTGCTACTGAGACACACAACGACTGAAGTAAGACTAATCAAACGTCAACGTTCTGCACTAGTGCGAAGAATTTCTCTTCACCTCTTTCCTATTGAAACTAGGGTAAACGCATCAATAATCGAACGCTTAAAAGATTTTGTAACCAATTAAAGTCGAATTTTACATGATAATATTATTAATAATTACTTGGCACATGAAAATGAGATTTTTTAATACATATCTACACCAACATTGAAACAAAGAAATTGCAAATATTACTCTCATCATGGTTTTGATGAATTTATGATTGGAATAACGAAACATTTTTCTCTGCTATGTTTTCCTACTATCGATAATTCAGGCGATATTTTAAACTATTCTCATTTCGAGACACTCTTTACATACAGCGTTGGAGAAAAATATTGATACAACATGCTGTTTACCTTGTAAGTACCTATACTCACAACAAAATTGATAAGCTACAGAAACAAGGTGGTCCACGAATAATAAATATTTGTTTTTCTAAGTTTCTTTTTTCAGCGGATGAAGGTATTGGCACATTCCAAGAACCATGTGTTCGTCTAATTAAAAATGAGCTCTTAATTACTTTTTTACCGGGGCTTTCTATTTCGTCTTGTTATTAACTGAAAAATGATTATACAGATATACCTTTCCAAATATAAAAACAAAATGGAATTTACATAAAAAGAATATTCATTTAAACTTATATTTTTGCGAAACGGTTGAAGTCTTCCACAGTATTACTTTATTATTGTAGAAATAACCTTATTCAGGATATTGTACTGAAAACTTCGGTTTTCCCAGTGTTTCTAAAGATTATTAGTAATTCTAGATTATTATTGTTTCTAAAGATTAATAGTATTCTTTCCTATGAAATGTTCGATATATACAGGGTGTTTGAAAAAGATGGGAGAATAAGCAACATGCATATTCCTCGTGCAAATACAAATCGCAAAGTCCTTTACCGTTTTGTAATCTGAAGCTCCATGTTCGAGATACAGGCAGTTAAACGAACTCCAATTAGCTGAGTGGTGTCTCACACATATGCGCAGAAAACAATCAAGAAGCGTACGACTCACAAGGAAGGTTTCCCTACCCGGAGACACCGATTTCAATGAAACTTCGTACGTTTGTTAAGCAAGCAAAAATAAGGGACACGTATTTTTTTTATCAGCTAACATTCACTTTAAGGGGGTGGAACCACCCCTCAAAGTTTCGACCCAGAAATACTATCTCGAAAACCAGAGGAGATACATGAAAACTTCTAATAGGCGAGTTTTATGATTTTTCATGTACAATAATATGGTGCTAAAAAATTGTCCAAAATACAATTTGTTTATAACAAAAAAATTTATTATACCTTTATTTTACAACTTATTCAAATTTACAGAATGACCAGCATTTTATTCCAAATCCATTGGTACATATATTTATGAAATTGCCTCCTACAGTTTCGCAAATTTTTATTGTTATCTATCTCGTGCGCACGGGATATATAATAATCAAAATTTGCGAAACTGTAGGATGTAATTTCATACATATATATAGCAATGGATTTGGAATGAAATGCTCGTCATTTTTTGTCATTCTGTAAATTTGAATAAGTTGTAAAATAAAGTTATAACAAATTTTTTTGTTATAAACAAATTGTATTTGGACAATTTTTTAGCACCATATTATTGTACATGAAAAATCATAAAACTTGCCCATTAGAAGTTTTCATGTATCTCCACTGGTTTTCGAGATAGTATTTCTGGGTCGAAACTTTGTTGGGTTGGTTTCACTCCTTTAAAGTGAATGTTAGCCGATAGAAAAAAATACGTGTCCCTTATTTTTGTTTGCTTAACAAACGTACGAAGTTTCATTCAAATCGGCGTCTCCCGGGTAGGGAAACCTTGCTTGTCAGGATACTAGCCTCCGCTTTTTGACTGTGTCTGCGCGTACGTGTGGTCCACTGCTCAGCTGATTGGAGTTCGTTTAACTGCTAATATCTCGAAAATGGAGCTTCAGATTAAAAAACGGTAAAGGACTCATCGATTTGTATTTGCATGAGGAATATGTATGTTGCAAATTGTCCCATCTTTTTA